AAAGAAGACATGAAAAGGATGAAAAGAAAACGAGGTGTAGACTAGAGAAAAGATGAGGAAAAAGAGAATATATTGCAAAAATGTGAAAAATGAACATACTGTATGAATATAACACACGTCTAGAACTGTTCTTTCTTTAAAGGAACACATTTGGAGAAGCTTTGCAGCACACAGTATTTAACAGCCTCAGAGTGACCAATTAAAGACTTTAATACCCCTTTTACTCCTTGAGATTTCTTTCCACTAGAGCTGCAATGGCTACTTTATTGACTGATCAGTCTATTAATGGGCAACGAGTTTCGTATTGCGTCAGTCGTTTTTCGAGCAAAAATGCCAAAGTTCTCTGTTTCTGGGTCCCGAAATGTGAGGATTTTTCGATGTCACACGTCAAAGTAAATTGTATTGAAATTTCCCGTCAGATAAAACAAGCTATTTTAATAGTCACAGTGGGCAAGTGAGAAATTATGCGCATTTTGTCATATTTTCTGACACTTAGAAGACAAAACAGTTCATCAGTTTGTGGAGAAAATATTCTAAAGATTAATTGCCAATAAAAATATTGTTTTGGTTTAGTGATTTCTACAATTATAATTGATTCAAACTTGCAAACCTACTGTTAGGGATGCAAATACTTAATAGGGACAGAACATCAATATATTTCAGATTAATCAATTAATTGAGGTCAGAGAGGTCAGAAAATCCCAAAGCCCAAAGTTGCTTGAAATTGCTAATTTTGTCCGACTGACAGCTCACTAGTGTTGGGGTTTCAATTTCCCATTTGATGTGAATTTTCCATATAAGGCCATATCTGAAACAACTACTGCAATTCATTTGTTTCTTACTTATGAAATAGAACTCGGAGAAATATCTCTTTGAACATTTTGTATTGAAAAGGAAGCAATGTTAACGTTGTTGTCTTTTTTACTACATTGCAGTTTGCACAGTAAAAAGGTTTACATTCTGCACATGCAAAATGGCATTAAAATGTTTTTTATAGTCTATGTACTTCTGACAGTTAAATAAGTCACTATAAACCTATATGAAGGTCCAGTCATGCCAAAAAAACAAAGACAAAAAAAATCTTATGAAAAAATATTGTGATATACCGTGAAACTGATTTTCAGTCATTTGAAAGAGGGAAAAGTGGCAAATGTTTAACAGTAAAGTGTTAAGAGCAAAGTTATGACTGAAATATCAGCTTAAGAGTGATGTTGGTCTGAAATGTGACACTTCAAAGCTTTGCTCTTTCCTGTAACACTAAAAGTAGGAAGAAAATAAACTACATGCATGGCAGAGGAGAATACTGTTTTTAAAGATTTTATGTCCCACAAATACCTTCCATTATGAGTTTGTTTACAGTCCAGAAGAGGTTAAGTGACCAAAGATCATTACTGAACCACAACGGGGCAACTGGGCACTAAATATGTTTGGGCCCTCTGCAGTCTACTGATAGGTCTTTTCCACCAACAGGAGACCGGTTCCGTTCCGTTTCGTGCACCTAGTATTGAACCGTTTTGACCGAAACTAAATTGGTTTGGACCCTGAAAGGTTGGTTCCCCTCGAACTAAAAGATAGCAGCTCTTCCTTGGGAAACAAAGTGGCTGTGTTACATTCCACAGGTAGCTATGCACTGTGCAGTGCCCTCTGGTAATTATGCATCCTGGATTACAATGGTTCGCTCAAAACTGGTGAAAAACATGGGCTGGTTCGCTAGATAGCACCAAGGTTCCAAGATTCTTCTTAAAGGTTTAAATTGTGATCTGTCAGTTCATGAAATTTAAATCGTGCTAACCTGGACCAAAACTTTTAAGAATATCTTCGCAAAAGCAACATGCCCTCTTAATTCCAGCTCGTTAGAGACACTATTGTGCTCTTGACACAAACAGATTTTGATGTTAAGTGTTAATTTCTTATATTCATTTTTAACTGCGGCTCAAAGGGATTGTTGTCTCTTTCTCTTTCAGTTGGCAGTCTGGTTGAACCATTGTACAGCATTTTGTTCTCCATGTAAAAATGATTATATATCCTCTCAGCCACCTGACTCTTACCAATCAAGCTTTTGTGGCAGATGACCCCATCCCAACTTTTGAGTGGTGAAAAAATGAAATAGCATGTGACACACACAAGGTGTTGTGCCTTAAGCTTGTAGTGACACTACAGGACCACTGGCATGATTGGTCTTAAAGCAAACAAACCCCATGAGATGAAAAGCTAGAAACTTCCCAGGAGCACAAGTGTCTAAAAGGCAACAACAGTGAGAAACGAGTGGAATGCCAACACTCCCAGAGGAGATAACACCCTGTTTATTTCCATCCCTGCTAATACACACTTTTCCCCTCATCTGTTTATGGGAAAACGTCTGATACAGGGTGAACATTTTGTATGAACAAGATCACATTAACCAGTTACTCCAGTCCCAACGTGACATGCAGGACAAAGATGAAGAAGAAACAATAAAAAGATGGAGGAAAAAGAGGGGGAGATGTATGCTGTTGGGGGGGGGGGTAGGAGGATGGAGAGGAAGGAGGGGGCCGTTAGTGGTGATGGAGAGACCAGAGGAGGAGAAGGTGGATGGATGGAGGGAGGGAGGGAGGGAGGGAGGGAGGAAGGGGAGGTGGAGGAGAGGGGGGTTGACGATAAGAGAAAAATTCAGACCGGTCAAAGTTTCCTTTTTGCCAATCGTGCTCCTGATAAAGACAGCGCCTGCTCCGGAGCTGATAGAGGGGCTATCTCTCTCCCTTATTCTCCCCCCGCCCCCCCTTCCTCCCTCCCCGCTCCTCCATCCCTCTGCCTCGCTCGCCCAGCAGTTAGTTTAGTGAGGAGGAGAGAAGGAAGGAGAAAGAAAAAAAAAGCGAAGGGCCCTATCAGTGCAGCATCATGGTGCTACCATCAACCAGCCACAGCGCGGCAATTAATATCGCTCCAATTACTGTTAAAGGGACGAGGCTGGGACAGGACGATAATGAACACATCCTCTCTTCCTCACCAGAAGAATTAAAATACACATGCACACACACACACACACACACACACACACACACACACACACACACACACACACTCTAGTAAACATACACACACTCAAACACCGCGTACACACACATGCTCAGACGTACATAAAACGTGTGCAGCTTGAAAAGGAAATAATGCAAGATAGTGCGGTAATCTTCTTGCATTGTTTAACTCATTGAAGACAACAGACAGAGAGAAATAAATAACCAAACAAACCTCGATAAGAGAGGAAATAAATAATAAAATTATGGCGATTTACTTGTTATCTCCTCTTAGCCATGTGTGAGTGTGTGTGTGTGTGTGTGTGTTTTTGTTACGTCTTGAATAAATTTTTCCCTGGCCTGTCACATTCCCTTCTCATGTTCAGGGAGAACAGTAGAACAACACGACGGACCCCAAAAGATGCTCCAAAGACGTGACACAGAAGAACATCACACACGGACACACAGACACAACCATACAGGGCTGGTTAGATCCACTTGAGAGCATGTTAAGAGCTAAAATGATTGTATGTTGGAGTAGTCTTTTTAAACCATTATGGAGCACACCACAGAGATTTTAAAGGTCCAGTGTGTAGGATGTACTGGCATCTAGCAGAATATGTTTCTGAAACGGTTTTAAGAGAGAAACAGTCAACACAGTAACAGAATCTGGATTCATATCTGATCAGCACTGCCTAGTTTGACAGTGTGATCTGAGTTTGGTGCGTTGAGCTGGACAAACTCACTGAGAATGACCTGTCAATCACAAGGTAGCCACGCCCTAAAGCATATCCTGCTTTATGGTCTATTTTACTCTAAATGGGACCATCATTTACTAAATGAACATCATGCTGTATGGAAGAAGACTGAAACTAGAGACTGAGACTATAAACTCATTAGGAGACTGTTCACTGAGCTCATAAATCAAGTCAGAATTCAGCTAATTTCTCCATAAAACATGCATGCTATCCCGCTTTTTTCCAGCCAATGGAGTTGCCCCCTGGTGGCCATTAAATATGACGCAGGTTTAAGACTTTCTCATTGCATTCACTTCACAGACCTGTAATTTCTCGCCACTAATTATACTGTCAATGAAATACCTATGAATATTATATTCTATTGTTGCCAATAGACCCTCCTAAATGTTACACACTGGATCTTTAAATTTGTTGTCTTCTGTGTGATCTTTCCCTCAAGACTAATGTTACATAAAGTGTAATCATTTCCGAAGCCAAAACATGGAGGATTAGATTTCTTTAGCTTCATTTATCATGTTTAATATGAATATATTGAACTCCTTAAAATAAAAAGGGACCTGAATAAGCCTTGTGTGAAATCAGGTGCAGTGTAACTACACTACAGTAAAGAACTAAAGCAACTGTAAAGCTCCAGCTACTTTGCTGTAGACCTTGTTTCTATGTATTTAGCATACAGGTAGGAGTCATTAGAAATGCATCTAAAATATAATTAAAAGTGAAATCAGGAAAGGCTCTCCAAAGACTTGTTCCAGAGCTTCTGACTGAAAATGCTCTGTCCCCTTTCGTTTTTAGCCAGGCCTCTGGAATAGACCTCTGCTTGAGGATCTCAAAGTAAGAGCCGCCACGTACAGTACTAATAGGTCGGAGATATAGCAGGGCGAGAGGCCACGAAGAGCCTTACACAAGACATAATAGGATCCAGTGTAAAGGGACTAAAACAGGAGTTATGTGATTGTGTTTCTTGGTTCTGGTTAAAACCCAGGCAGCAGAGTTCTAAAGTCGGTCATTAGATTTTTGTTCAGGCAGGTAACCAGGCACTAACAGTCATCATCAATGCGCGCATACATGCCACTCCACCTATAACATCTTCTGTAACATATAGGTGAACGTTTTTGAAAGAACCAAATATTAGAATGATTCTTCCACTCAGACCATGGTTCACTTTAGTTTTGCTTCAGTACATGTGTTTCAGTAAGTTCAGAATGGTACATGTTTAGTGGCTGTAGGGAATGCCTGTGAGCATACTGACCTGGACCCTTCCAGTGTAACACCTCCTCCTCTTCCACGCCCTCCTCTTGCTCCTCCCTGCCGCTGTGTGTCGAACCTCGCTCCTCCCCGCCCTCGTCTTCATCGTCTGGGCCTCCTCGAGAGTCTTGCGTCCTGGGCTCTGGTTACAGGACAGAAACAGTCGCATTTAAACACACTCAAACATAACATCAACTCCTGGCATCTTCAATATGAAACTTCAGCGTCGGCCTTCGAACCCGCGTCATCGATGGAAAGCTACATGCGTGTCAGAATGTGCATATATGTGTCTGTGTGTGTCTGGGCAGCGACTGTTCCTGTCTGTTGATCAAAGGCGGCGGTGAAATGACTGCCTGAGCCGTGTAACACAACACCTCGCCACGCAGAGATGGACCCTTTGATTCTCAGTGCAACTCCGCTGAATCAAAGACTCATCAGAAACATCGTCTTTTACCTTCAGTTTGCTCTTTACGTTGCCTATTCCAATCCGTCCTCTTCCAGCTTTTCATTCTCTCTTCCTCCTTCCCTCGCTTTCTCCTCACTGAATGGAGGTGGATCTCATTGTGCTCGTCTTCTCCTCTATCTTTCCATCTACCACCCCCCACCCCCTTCATCCCCCTCGGCCTGTCACCTTCAGCAGAGACTGAGGCTGTCTGTGTTCCTCTAATCAGCATTGATACCCCCGCCATTGATCAAGATGATTACACAGCCTCCTGCTCGCTGATCAAAGAGATCTGTGTGTGGTTCTGCACGTGGCCGGAGCTGTGTGAGTGTGAATTTGAATGTGTGTGTGTGTGTGTGTGTGTGTGTGTGTGTGTGTGTGTGTGTGTGTGTGTGTGTGTGTGTGTGTGTGTATGATGTGTTTATCCGGCGTGCATATGTGAACCCTGAACTTTGCCTGTGCAGCTGGTATCAGCCGGTTCATCACACTGTTGGGTCCCTCCCTATTAGCGGGACTCATGATTAGTTAGATTAGATTAATAGTTACATCACAGCACCTCAGGCTATCTGAGCTGAAGATCTCTCTTTTCTTGTTCTCTGGTCTTGCATCATCATCAGGCCAAGGGTTAGGGTGACTCAAAAGCTGACTGCATGGAAACGGATCACAAACAGGTTGCTATTAATCTGACTAAAAAACGTTCACTGTAGTTACAACAAAATAAAGTGACCCAGATTTTGCCCAGCGGACATTGTGGTTGACAGACGAGGGAACTATTTAAAAGAAAACTGGATTCTAAATGCGCTTCTGTAAATTATTTAATTCTGTTCCAAATGCAGCCAGGCAGTAAGTGTTGTGTAATGGAGTTCATGATTAAAGTACCCTCCCCAAACTAACTTGTTGCAGGATAGAAAAGCACCATATCTAAATAAAGTAACGAGTGAAATCATCCATCAAATGGCACATTTTTCTTGTTTTACAAGTGTGAAATTCTGTAAAATGTTGTCCTGTGTATAATTATGTTCTATGTACTGTGGGTTAAAGTAAATAAAAGCAACTTTTTTGCAACAGGTTTGGACTAGAGCAGGACGGATATTAGCTTGTCACAGATATATCAGTATTGGCGTATATGTTGGCTGATAAGCAGAGAAATGCAAAAGATATCTTAGAGGTAGACACTTTATCTCCATTGCATAGTTTGTTCACCAGAGAGGATTGGAGTTCTATTTTTTTATTGTAAAATGTCCTGCTTAGGACTTATCTAAGTCAGAATTCTCTAAAGAACAATCTAAGGGATCCTTATGGAAAGTGGTCTCAGCCTTAAGATCCAGTATTGATCATGTTGTTTTAAAGTTTTAAAAGGTCCAGTGTGTAACATTTAGGAGGATCTATTGGCAGAAATGGAATATAATATTCATAGGTATGTTTTCATTAGCGTATAATCACCTGAATATAAGAATCATTGTGTTTCCGTAACCTTAGAATGAGCTGTTTTTATCTACGGAGCCATGTTTCTACCGTAGCCAGAACGGACAAACTAAACACTGCTTTTAGATGGGTCTTTTTGCCTAATTTTGAATAAAATATATAAAATATGTTGTGATGATTGAGACTAATTGTTAGAGTAATTGATACCAGTGCTAGAGCTGCAACGATGAGTGGATTAATTGATTAGATGTCAACTATTAAATTAATGATCTTGAGTTTTTTATTTTAAGAGAAAATGTGCAAATTCTCTGATTCCAGCTTCTTAAATGTGAATATTTTCTGCTTCCTTTAGTCCTGTATGACAGTAAACTGAATATCTTTGGGTTGAGGACAAAACAAGACAAGACCTGTCAACTTGGGCTTTGGGAAACACTGATCAACATTATCTGACTTTTTATGGACCAAACAACTAATCGATTAATGGAGTAAAATGATCAGACAGATTAATTGATTATTAATTAATCATTAATCATAGATATATAGATACTTTATTTATCCCGAGGGGAAATTCAAGTCATTCATTAGTTGCAGCCCTCAATACCACCATCATACCCAGGAATTCTGGGAAGACCTTGTGTCTTCAACCAGGCTATGACAAAGCAATAATATAGACACCTCAACATAAGATCAGAGCTTGTTAAGATTTTCTTTGCATATGTCCAAAAGTTGTAGTGTAGTTTCTGAATGGACAGTTTATTAAAAAACACATCAGACGCTAGGGGTGTAAGATACACTTGAGTATCACGATATTTTGTTTTGTGATATTGTATCAATTCCTAAAAACATTGTAATGATTTTTAAACCTTCAACTGCTAGACAGCAGTGTTGTATACTGAGGGCTATGATGTTAGATGTTACAGGGACTGTTATAAATACATTTTCTTTATGTATTTACAATACATACAAATTCCCAGCATATCACCTGGCTTACAGTATCGCAGTATATTGAATCGTAACCCCTGTATCATGATATGTATTGTATCGCCAGGATCTTGACATTTTTGTGTGAGTGTAAATGTAGCTGGGTACAAGCACATTCCAGGCAAAACTGACTTCAACTAAAGGTAAATCTCAATTGTTACTTTTGAAATTGTATAGCATTAACTTCCAACTTCTGGTGTCTGATTCAAAAGGTATTTAAAGAAAACACATCACAAATCAAAGAAAATTCCATCATTAGGAACCCCTTTATTTAAAAAAAACCGTTCATCCACTTTCCACATTTCTTCCGCCCTTTGTCCAATCCCTGCCCTCCTCCTAACTTTTGCCCTTCTCTTCACTTGCTCCTTTCCAGCTCCTCTTTTGTGCTCTCCTTCCCCTTCATCCCACCCCGTCTTCAGCCTCCCCCCGATAACACCTGAGCTGTCTGCACAAAGCCTGTGTTTACCCTCGCATTCCTGCTCCGATAAACGGCGATAGCGCCCGATCGATACCGGCCATAAACGCCCTGCGACCATGTGACGCCCTCACACTCCGCCGTTATTAATGTAACAGTTGCGAGATTGGATCTGCATTGTCAAATAAATCAACACACACACACACACACACACACACACACACACACACACACAAAGAGGAGCAGGTGCACACATATACACACACCATCCATCTTCACATCACGTCCACCTTTCAACCTCATCCGCACGCAAACACTCATATGCAGCGACATACTGTACACACACTAAAGCAAGCAGACCTACACACACAGACACACACAGACACACACAGACACGCAGACACACACACACACACACCTCCCCCTGCCTAAACAGTGCCATTATTTTCAGCTATAAATCACATTGAATGGCACATTGATTTTATCCTGCAGGGGCTGAAGCGAGGGAGGGGAGCTGGAGACACAGTTATTGCGTTTAATATTATCAATATTATCTCCCATATCATCTCAGACAGGGAGGCAGGTATCAGGAGGAGTCGACAGACACTTTTCTGCCAAACCCCCTCCTCCCTCTCTCCCTCTCCACCACTCCCCTCCCCCTATAGCGAGACAGTCTCCATCAATCTGATAAGCTGAACTTCCCCTGTCACACCTGCAGGGCAAAGTCACCCAACAATCTCGCCTCCTAACTTCTACAACCCTCTACACATTTCTGTCTCTCTTCTCTCTTTCTCTACATATCCGTTCCCTGTTTAATGCGTTGGTCAGTTTGGTGGTACAGGTGAGGCTGAAGAGAACTGAACAAAACCACGGTGTGGCTCTTCAAGTCTTCAACCTTACACAGCGTCTGGAGAAGGCAGCACACACAATTACAGCCCAGTACGCAATCAATGTAGTGACGGACATATCGTACAGAAATAAGTAAGAGCTTTGGGTTATTTGTGTATCTGTTCCATAAAACATGAGGTGGACAACTGAAGCAGGCGTAGACAGGGTGCTAGCATAACCGTCTATTAGCTGTGCAGGTCATGTAGCTACTAATAGGGGATTAATTAAGTATATATCTTCTTCTTCTTTTTCTTCTTCTTCTAAAATAGGCCAAAATGGTTGTTTTTAAATGCCATTTGTTTGGAATGTGGCTGTGAATTTACAATAAGAAGTGATGGTGAGCATACATCACACTCACAATGGTCCCCAAGCAAGGTTTCTACAGCAAAATGAGTGACGCAACTTGTTCGAGAACAGAAAACATCATAACGTTTTAATTCTACATAAATCGTGATAGGAGGTGGTTTGTAGCAAGATCATTTTTAACTGTTAATGTCATACACCCCTTATTGTATCAATAAGTCCACGGTTGGAACTTGTGTGTTCTGTGTTTGAACAGTGGAACATGTGTGATGTTATTCTGTGATGAAATAAATAAACCAAATGCAGTCTCCTTGCTGGTTGTTCTGTCACATTCAAAAGCATTAGCCCCTTTTCTGTTAGCATTGAAAATAGAGTTGTTAAAATATTTAAAGGACCAGTGTGTAGAATTTAGAAGCATCTCGTCGTGTAGTTGCATATTGCAACTACCTAACTTCACCCTTGCCTTCCAAGTGCAAAGGAGAAACTACAGTGGCCACTCAACACACAGCCCTGTCTAGAGCCAGTGTTTAATTTGTCCATTCTGGGCTACTGTAAAAACATGCCGGTTCAACACAGCGGACTCCCTGGAAGGCGACCAGTGGCTAAATATAATATATAGATAAAAACGACTCATTTTATGGTAATAAAAATACAACATTTCCTATACTCAGGTGATTGCATACCTAAACATACCTATGAATGTTATATGCCGATAGATCCTCCTAAATGTCACACACTGGTAGTACCTTTAAATAGTTAAATTAATATCATAAACGACTAGTCGACTATTGGCTTTAACTACTACTACTCAGGGACAGCCCGGTCCACCATGATGACAGCAGAAGAGATTATGACGTCTGTCATTTGTCAGTTTATGCATCACACACACTTTCTCTATCACCACTGATCTCATTCAAATGAAAAAAAAACTAACTGGCGGTTTACAAAAATCACTCTGATTGGTTTAAACGAGGGCACGCCGATTAGAGGTCAGAAGGAGGTAACATACTGACTAATCAGCCCAGAAGTGGATTTTATCAGGTTTCCTGTGATGTATAAGTGCGATTGCCTTGTTATGAAAAAAGGACCTTCGCTTGTTTCTGCAGGTCGCTGCAACTGCAGAGCGATTCTGAGAAGAGAGCGGGAAAAAAACACACCACAACACAGAGAGAGTACTGAACAGATGCTTGAGTCTTCCTCAATAAAGTTGTGTGTACGTGCATGTGTATGTATGTGTGTGTGTGTGTGTGTGTGTGTGTGTGTGTGTGTGTGTGTATCAGCATTAATATGCTGGCTCTCTCTGTCAGGTTGAGGAGGGTGTGATGGAGAGAACAGAGTGCTTGGTCCTGTTACTGGTAGAATGTGTTTTTCTCGCTAAAGTTATCAGGCTGGTTATCGCCAGCATGTATGTGTGTGTGTCTCTCTCTTTCTCTCTCTCTCTCTCTCTCTCTCTCTCTTCCAGATGGTGGATAAGAGGCCTTGCCTTTATTAGCCAGAGCTGGCCAGATAAAGACCTGGTATTGATCCCAGGTTGAAAGAGCAGGTTCGTCAAACATGGCTGATTTACAGAGAACTGATAATGGCAGCGCTGGGCAACCGAGGAACCCCAGAGAAGAGAGAGAGAGGAGTAAATCAACAGAGTGATGGGGAGGGGTGTGTGTGTGTGTGTTGTGGGGTGGGGACGGGGGAGGGTTCAGTCTGCCCGAGTTTTCTCATCTTCTTCTTATACAATCTAATACACACGTAACCCACTACTCACCTCAAACACACACACAAACACACACACACACACACACACACACACACCTATAGCTAATCTCTAATCTCGTCTCGATTAGCACCTGACAGAATTTCCATGGGTTTATCAAACCAAGCCAACCAACAGACGCTTATCACTTCCAGCCCCCAAAATTTCACAAGAGCAGGAATTTTTGAGATTAAAAAAACACAGCTAGTGAAATCTTGAATAAGTCAAAAGAATATGACTGAAAACTCCACTATCGCGCAGTACGAGGGGGAGGCTCGGGATAAGAGGTGCATGAGGGAGCAGATTCGCCGGGGCCAAGATTGAACCAGGAGAATTTTTTTTTTCTTTTCGTTTAGACACAATAGAGATTAAAGAGTGATACATGTGGAAAGCTGCAACCTCATAATGGTTCTTCAGTCTTTTTTAGTCGACTCTAACGTTAACCGTCTCTTGACAGATAACAGGAAGACGGCAGTTGATGAAAGAAAGAAAGAAAGATTTGATGAGGAGAGAGATGTGTTAATAACTGCTAATAACTGCCAGTAAACAAGACATCTGGATTATTCTACTTGAAGAGTGTTGCATGTTGTCAGTGCATGGCAATCATTACAGTCAGTGTGATCAGGGATATTTCTCTTGATCATACAGTAAAAGAACGAGTGTGAGCATAGATAGAAGTTATTTAGTCAAATTCGGACAGTTACCCACACAATAGCTTCCACAGGTACTATTTCCTTGGTAGAAAATAGTGTTAGTGATAACAGTAAACAGTAAAGGTCTGTGGAAAAGTATACGTAGGCCTGTCGACGTAACATAAACATAATAATAATAATAATAATAATAATAAAATAAAAAATAAATTATATTATTGTCATTTAAGACCATTTTATGCCACTGACATAAGAATAAGTATGATTATGCAAGTACACCATTTAAAAAAGCAATTAACTTTTAATTCTTAAAGCTGCAGTAAGTATTTTTTACAAGAATAACCTTTTGTCACGGACGGATAATCTGTGAAAAAAATCAGGTTCCTCTGGCTCCTCCTAGTGCTCCTAATGGCATTTACAAGAATCCACCAGGCCTGAACGAAAACAACAAATTTTATCAGTTTTTAAAGAAAATCAATTTTACCAACCAAGATTATCAGTCTCATGTACTACTGTCAGGACACAGTGAGTATTTCAGCAAGTATAACAAAAAGTTGTTCAAACTGATTATCTTTGGGTTTTGGACTGTAGCTCACACAAAACAAGCAATTTATCATATTTTATTGATAAAATGATTTACTGACTATTCAAGAAAATAATTGGCAGATGACTCAACAATGAAATTTATTGTTGGAAAAGCACTTTTATAAGTGTAAGCAGCCAGAAACCACTTTTGAGCAGTAGGTATGTTTTTTGTTGGACCCATTTTAGAGCTTCAAAGTCTTCATGGAAGCACTATGCACAGACAGGAGGCCTACAACTGTTGCTCATTTCCTCCTTCAGATTTTTTCATTGATTCTCATGCCAATATCTTTTTTACTCTTATATCCAGCTTTCTTCCTCTCCTCACCTTCGTTGTAAAGTGGTGTGTAAGGCGGGGGGCTGGAGCTGTCGCCCTCTGCTGAATCTGCGTCCGAGGCTCCTCCCTCTTCTCCCGATAGGCTGAGGTTGTCCGCTGTGTTTTCCTCACCACCGTCAAGATCCCCGGGGGAACCTGCGGGAGGAAGGAGAGGGAAAATTAACAACTACTATTATTGGTCATATCCACCGTATTCTGCTCAATGTTGGGCAAGAGCAGCTAAATCTTTGTGGGGCGTCACAAGGCCTTCTTAATCGACCTAAACACAAGCTATATTCACAGTCTTCACTCTCTGATAACCAGCCAGAGAGAACAATGAGACAAAAAACACAGAATTTGTCAAAACAGAAGCGTGAAGAATATGAAATATCAATAAAATATGAAAGATATAAATGTCACTGAGTCAGGAGCTGTCAGTTTACTCAATGATAGAAAAGGGGTCCCTTAAAGAAAAAGATTGTGAATCACTGATTCCTAGCCTTTTTCCATAAGGAACCCCTTTCTTTATTAAACTGACAGCCCCTGACTCAGTGACATATTTTATGGATATTTCATATTGTATTAAAAATGAATTTACCTTAACTACTGCAAGAAGTTTGTGGAAAAGAAGTGATTTGGATGAATTCTGAGCAGATTATTTCCTGTTTAGGGAACTTTTTATACAATTCTCTGTATTACATATATTTTTTAAAATAATGTTTAATAATGTTAACACATTCCTAGTAGTCTTGTTTTTGGCAAAGTCAGTGTTTTCTTGTCCCTGATGCTAGGCCATTGTTCTATTAGACAATGTACTTTTCACAGAAGTGAACCAAATGTTGAAATATACTGTGTATATTTTTTAAGTTTTTTTAGCACGCCTTGAACACAAGAAGGCCTTGCGACCCCCATGAAACTTTGGCGACCCCTAGTCGGGGGTTAGGCAGAGTCTCTCCCTTACAAGGCTGTACAATTAATCGCAATTTATCGAAATCGCAATATTGCCAATTGCAATATGCAAATCGCAGAAGCTGCAAATGTTGATAAATGTGTGACAAATGATATAATGAAGCACTGTAGTGCAGATACATTGTCCTATAAGTCTTGTTCTCCATAATTAAGAAAATATGTTTGTTTGGTGCAGATCCCAACAAATTTTCAGCGGAAATTACATTTGTGATACAAAAATGATCATTCCCACTAATCATGAATGATAGGGCATTATCTGTCAAAACAATCGCAATCTAATGTTTTTACCATATTGTGCAGAGATAACAGATCTGGGCCTGATGGAATTTGGAAAAAGAAGAATAAAATACACATGTAGTGCCATCTGGACGGATAAGGACACATTTCAAGCTGTTATATTAGAAAAACAGAGTTTATTTTAGTAGAGAACAGCAGATCAGAGCCAATATATGAATTAGATCAATACTCAATGCATATGAATAATAAGAGCACCACCAAAAACAGCCATAAAGTGTAGAACTCTACAGATCTCTCTGATACAATTACAGAACAGTATCACACATTAGGTCTGCAAAAGGAGAAATTTAATTGTCTTCCCATGGGCCTTGAGTCTAAACAGACCGGTGCAGGAGAGGTGAAAAATACAAGGAAGTGAGGTTTGTTAAACAAGCTACTTATGATTGTTTGCTCTGTAGAAGGGAGGAAAAATACCCTAAACACACTGATCCATTTTTTTCCCCTTCTAACTGGACTCATTCAAAAAACGGTTTCAAGAATTGGACACGCTGAACGGTCTAATCCAGAAGATTAATAGCAAGAAGCCAAGGGGGACCTTAAAGCCAAATTACAGTATACCTAAAATTGTAGCTAAAAGAGTGATTAGTGTAGGGCTGATCTGTATCAATTACAGTTTCATAATCCCTGCTGACCATAGTAATTATACACTACTTTTGATCTATTTTAGCCTGTTTGAAGATTACATCCACAAAAAAAAGGGAGTCAGTTAATATGGATTTAATGTGACTTTTTTAAATTGCTTCATTAATAATGCTCCTTCTATAAGACGAGTGCACCAGGCTGCTTTAATGCTACAGTAAGAGCTCCAAACCTGGAAACACAGATTTATATTTCTGATTTTGATTCTGTTAGTAGTGTTTCAAGGCTGAAGGCAGCTTCTGTTATGCCCATCTGCATCCGTTGACATGCTTCACTCTGAGATCCCGGGAGGACGCCATGATAGAATTATTAATTCAGGGTGCAATTTCTTTTAAGAGGATTAGGGAGTGAAGCAGAAATGGTTAATATGCCGGGACTGCCGAGGGAGAAAACAACTCATACACATAATAATGATGTACTGGAAAGTCATGGAGGGTGGGCACATTGTTTTTGAATAACTAAGTCAGAGTGAAACTAATACGGAGAGAAAACCAGGTTCCCCCCCCCCTTTCCTGCCTTTCTCCCCCAATCCAGACAGGTTGTAAATTAATTTTCATTAGGTTGTGTCGAACGAACTGAGGGATTGTTTCGGAGCTAAAGCCGTGACTGGGGGCGTATATATTTACAATACTGGAACAAAAGAAGTCTATAATCTATACAAAGCACACAACAATACCCATGAATAAAGAAGCTTGTAGAAAAAGGGAGAGGCAATTTTTCTAATTCTGTTAATTTCACTTCCAAAGCAATTAAAAGCAGGCAGAGATAATGCTGGGAAACAATCGCCGGCTGACAAAGTGTTTCTGTCTTTGTAAATGAAACATCTTTAGGCTAATTTCAACTTCCACGCCTGCATGGTTCACTCTAATTTCAGATAAAATTAACACAGCTAGATTTGGACCTTAACAAGAAGAGTAGAGGAGAACGGAAAAAAAATAGATCGATCCTGTACACAATATTTTTAGAATTAGGTCTATGTCGCCTGAGCTTTGCTAGATCTAATTTTCAGTATCTATAAGGACATTTTCATACAATTAATTTTCCTTTAATCATAATTGTACAAAGGGACTTCTCTGTATAAAATTCCAATTATATTTCCTGTTTAAAATGTAAGTTTGAATTATGATTTCTTTCCTCATTACGGCTCTGGTTTAATGAATCAATCGCTGCATCACCGCTTTCAGACATCAAATGGTGCGGAAAAAGTTTCAGCTCCACTTTCTCCCCTCTTTTATCCAAGGAGAAATATTCTGTCGTTCCCCTTCTCTTTCTGTCTCGGATAGTTGGCAGAAAGGATAGCAGGGCCCGTGTGATAAGTGCGGCACATTCTACTTCATTTGCCAGTTTAAAAGTTAAAGCCTTATTAATTGTTACAGCGTGATATCCACAGAAAAAATTGGACTTAACTCATTGAAGAGATCAGGAAAAATAATAAGAAGACATAGCCTACATGTGTATCTCTGTGCAGGAGGGACATCAATTAAGTTCAGACTTATCCGACAGCACCACTGAACTTTCTAGGTTGTGAACTAAAGAAGGAGGATCTTGTTCATGAAAAAAAGCCCAAAGCTTACATTTATTCATATTTCCAAACTTAAGGTTCTCGGGCGAATAAAACTTGAAATGCTGAAAGATAAAATTCCGGAAATACTTACACCAGTTCCTGAACGGAAAACGTCTTTGATGAATGTTCTCTACCACGTTTAAACCTTTAGGGAGTAACTTATAGACAGAGCACACAGGCAGTGTGAACCAACAGATTCTGATTTCTTTATATGGACTGGTTTTCAGAACAAATTAGCTTAAAAGGTCCAGTGTATAAGACATACTTGAAATTGAATATAATATGCATAACTAGGTTTTCATTAGTGTATAAAACCTGACAGTAAGAATTGTTGTGTTTTTGTTACCTTAGAATGAATAATTTCTATCTACAGAGGGAACCACCACCAACCTTCCACCATGTTGAACCGCCATGTGTCTACAGTAGCCCGAACAGAGAAACCAAACACTGGCTGTAGGTTCAGCCTTTTGTGAGTTTCACAGCCACTATAGTTTCTCCTAAATACTCCATTGAGTCAAGAGGTTTTAATTATTTGCAATCTCATGGCTGGAGTCAATTAAATTCTACTGGTCCTTTAAAACCAAGAACATTATCAACAACGACAAAAACCCACTTATTTAACTAAGTTTCATGAATTCAAATTCAAATCAAATCTGATCACACCAATTTTTTTTCCAATTCTAAAGGCTGCTACTGACACATTTCGTCCTCTACTCAAAAAGTATTAACGCTACAATGCAAATTTGAGGAGCATTAAGCAGCTAATTTTGGGTGTCTTTACTTGATGCATATAATGGAAACTTGATTTATAATTGAAGTGATTAATTTTACAAATAGTATATGGGTAATAGTATAATAGTAATATAAACTATTAATGGGTTAGTCAATCCGCAGGAAAAAAAAATGTATAACTATTGGTATACTATACAGAAAATGGTGAAAAATGTGGATAGGTGTTCCCCAAAGCTCAAGGTGGGGTCCTTACATTTCAAATATATTCAGTTAACTGTCATACAGGACTAAAGAAAGCAGAAAGTATTCATATTTGAGAAGCTTTTTTTTTTTTTCTCTCAAAAAATGCCTCAAAACTATAAATAGGCCATTAATTTAATAGCTGAAATAAATAATCGTTGCAGTTCTAGTGAAGAACATTTTTCACAATTTTCTTACATTACTGGACCACAAATGAATCGATTATTGAAGACATGAAATAATAGTTGCAGCCCTAATGGACATATTTCAGTCAGTTCTTAAACAGTATTGAATACTGTTTGAAACAGTATAACCCAGACCTACTTTAGGTCAGGACCATGACCTGTCTAACTCAAGGACCTGACTGTGATTGTGCACACAAGTTTGCAAAATTCCTCAACATTTCAAGGGAACAAAAGAAGGTCCTTCAGGCAAATAAATAAATAAATATATATCTATAAATATAATAGTGGATGGGTCTTGAAATATAATCAGGAGATTACGAGTCGGTGTTGACTGAGGAAAGATCCAGTCCACCACCGAGATGAGATGGAGACAGATGTGGCAGTACAGGAGTACTTGAGCTCCAGCGTAGAGACTGCAGCTGTCTGTCTTGGAGGCGCGAAGAGAGGCAGAACAAAGTGCTGCAGCTGATGAAGGCGCCAAAGATACTGCTTTATTAACTCTCCGTCCACATCAAACCTGCAGCGAGCAG